TATATATATGAGATCTTTTCTTACCTCACTGATTTGCTGCTTGTGATAGGACAAACTTGATGAAGCTTCGTTCTGACTACAAGGATGCATTTGTTGAGAAGCATGGAGTCAAGTTGGGGCTTATGTCTGGATTTATAAAAGTATGCAATACATAATACATGTAGAATGCTAATATGAAACAGACTAAAATGTTGCATGCATGTGTGTACTTATAAATCTTTATTTGTTTCTGTTAACAGGCTGCTGTCAGTGGACTCCAAAATCAGCCTATTATTAATGCAGTCATTGATGGGGATGATATCATATATAGAGATTACATAGATATAAGCATAGCCGTTGGTACTCCAAAGGTTTGGCCATGATTCTTTTGATTTATTTACCTAGTATGTTCATCTAGACGAATTGCAGACTTAGATGTCAAAAGCGCCGTTTGTATGTAAAAGGTTTTTTAATGTTTTGTTTTTTCCCTCTTTGATAATCGATATTTGCATGTGGAACATTGGTTTAACATTATTCTAATCTGTAAAGATCCCATCAAGAAATATAGTTTTGGATTTTTAAGAAAGAGTGAAAAATGCCATACTGTTGCTTTTAATATTATGTGTTATATCATATGAGCTCAATATGCTTGACCAGGATCTAGTTGTTTGTTTCATCCATTTGACCTTATACCTTAGTTGGCAGGGCCACATCATTATTGTTGAGGACCCATTTTAGTTTTTAGTTTTTAGATTTTTATACCTCAGGAGTTGATAACTTTTTGCAAAGTACATGTTTTTCATGGTTATTAAGTTCTGATATGAGTATTAACATATTAGACTGAATAGTGATTGTAAAATCAAAATGCATTTTCATTGCTACCGTAAATTTCCCTCAATTTAATTTCCTTGCAGGGCCTTGTTGTGCCAGTTATTCGCAATGCCGATAAGATGAATTTTGCTGAGATAGAGAAGGAGATGAACACCCTTGCAAAGAAGGCAAACAATGGATCTATATCAATTGATGAGATGGCTGGAGGTTCATTCACTATATCAAATGGTGGAGTTTATGGAAGCCTTATAAGTACCCCCATCATCAACCCCCCTCAGGTCTGGTGCTTTTCTGACACAATTAACTTGAACTTTTATCATCTTATTTCAACAAATGGAACTTCATTTTTTAGGTAGACAACAATATCGAACACTCAATGTTTTAGAATGCTGGTTCATCCATTTTATTAGTCTGGGAAGCCAGAAATAGATACCTAAGATATTTGAAAGAGATTCATACATGACTATAGCCATTTAGGCCAAATGGCATCTCATTAGTAGGGCGTCGATGTTGAGTTTCAGGTTCAATACCTGCTCTGGGTTTGTGATTTATTTTCTGAAACTACAAAATGTAAAAATGAAAAGAAATCTCACGCAAGTGATTTATTTTTTGGCAGTCGGCAATCTTGGGTATGCACTCAATAGTTACCCGTCCAATGGTTGTGGGAGGTGACATCGTTCCGCGGCCAATGATGTACATTGCTCTTACCTATGACCATAGGTTGATTGATGGAAGAGAGGCAGTTTTCTTCTTGCGTCGTATTAAAGATGTTGTTGAGGATCCTCGGAGGCTTCTCCTCGACATATGAAGCACCTCATCGGCAGTGGTACATGATTTCATTCGGGGGTTTTTCGAGAATCAAATATACTTAAGGAAAATAAATACGAAATAGGTCAATTTTGTAGGATCTGATTTGTTAGTTGAGACCCTATAGGCGGGTTCTTCAATTGCGGCTGGTTGAGATTAAATCTGAAATGAGAGAGCTTGTCAGGTTGAGTCTTCCGATTTTTGTAGTTGATCGGCCTAGTTCTTGTTTTGTGCTACTGTGAATCATAGGGAATTGTTCCCGAGTGAAATACCTTCCAACTGTCATATCTTTGCGTGGAAAACATCTTATTCAAAAGTATCTGATGACATTAGATCATAATAAATTCTTAAATCTTATTTTGGCCGGCAATTCAAATCGGTTGTTTTGTTGGTCATGTCCATTTACTCATATTACTGCAATGCTGTAACATATTGTAATTTATTGAATTGGGTTTGAGCTCTTTCCGAATGGCCGTAAGGTAAAACACAAGACTGCAGAAAAAGGGCAGGCTGGCCTAAGAGTATTCAGCTTCTTTTTAATATCGTGTGTGCAGTTTCTTTCTGAAATGGAAATTTTAATGCACCAATCGAATTGAGGGTAAAATATGAAAAGCCAACACCTTTTTTTAATTTTTATTTATTGAAGAAAAATAGTTAAGCAATGTCATTATTTAATAACTGTTTAAAGAACTATTTGGAGAATAGTTCTGTTAATTTATGCACCAAAATGTTAGGAACGAATAGTGTCATTTTTGGATCAAAATTCCCGTTTTAGTTTAGAAGCTGATGTACAAATTTAAGGGCCACCTGCAAGGGGAGGGGGTTTTCTCACATACGCACTATTAAAGTGTCATGGGGATTTGAACTTAAGTTCATTGGTTTGTAAGTCAATACTATTTTTCACTGAGCTAGATCCGTTGGCGATAAACTCGTAATTGTATGCATGACGAGTGATGATTGCAAGTTTTCTCCAGCGGTAGACAGCAAACAATCCGAGCCACGAAGTTATTTTGCTTGCAATATATGCTTACCGACCAAAGAACAAGAAGCATGTGATACTGTATACATGTCACTGTAATTGCTGAGACTGCAGCTTCTTGCTGATTTTCTTTTTCCTTATTAAATTACACTTCACAACGCAAGGTTGAAGTTTGGTTACCTTGATGGATATCCTGTTATCCTTGTTCGGGAGGTGAGATTGGACTGAGCTGGATACTAGTTCAAAGTTCATGTTCGGTACCCTAAAACTAGTGTGATATGTAACAACTAAGTTGGAATGACAGCAACTGCTGCAATCATGGCTGGACTTGCAGCTGTGAGTGGAGCTGGAGCACCCATTTTGGGTCTCAATCTCTCTTATAGTCTCCTATATATGGCTGTCACTGGGATTTTGTTGGTGATGAATAAGATCCAACCTTCTCAGCTAGCAGAGGAGCAGAGAAATGCTTCAAGGCATTTTAAGAGGCTTCATGAAGAGATCAAAACCACTCTGGCTTTAAATACCCCAACATTAAAGATTGTTTTTTCAGCATATAAAGTGGTAGCAAATAAACATACCTGGAAATCGATGGATGAGCAGAAATGGGATTGTAAGGAAGACGATTCTAAGAAAACAAGGAGGAGGAAGAAGCTGAATTCTTGAAGTTCCTTGCCTTGAGAGACGAAGAAGAGCAGACTGTTAAGATTGCAAACACCGTGGAAGACAATTGGTTTTTTCAGAGAACCAAACGAAACTCAAAGCCTGAAAATTTAAATCAAATTGGAATTGGTTTCAGTCGGTGTAAGGGAAAGTGTCAACTTTCGTCATGGATATAAACAGCAGTTTCAGGTATATATAAAATTTGTTCATTCAAAACAAAATCTTAGATAAAAATCTTGGAACTTTGAGCTTTTAATCTCTATGCTGATACGTATTCCAGAATTCAATGAAGCTCCTCCTCATGATCGTCTTCCCCTGTTTTGCAGCAGAGTGTCTCTACAAGATATGGTGGTAAGTCTTGGGAGCAACCGAATTACCATAATATGGGAACATATATTTGAGCAACACCCTTTAGTGCACTTTGGAGCTGTGTTCATGGCAGTATCTCATTCAAATTAATATATTGTCATTTTGGTTTCTTGGTCATGGTGCAGTTATGTTCCATTAGCCTAGTTACTAGTCTCTTCATCTGCCTGCGAAGTGCAACCAAAAAAACACACAAAGCACAGTCAATAACGGGGCTTGTTGTAAAGTGGCATGTCTGCGCCACAATACAGTCTTTTGATTACACAGAAAGTGAGACTCCAATGGCTCTGATTTCTTCAGCTCAAGTGTTTCCTTTTGGTGCTGATATGGAATCAGAAGACGAAGAAGGGGGAGAAGATGACGATTAGGACAACACCAAGCTGGATTTACACTCACACAATCTCATTCCAGAAAAGACAAGCTCTAGGTTGTAGTAGAAAGAGATCATCGTCTTCAGTGTTGAACTTCTTTTTTTGGTACTGATAGTGTGTGGTCGCTTTTGCAGTGAAGAATCGGGAGAATAATAGAGCAGGGATCACATTGTTTGGGTTCACAGTGGTTAGAATGTGGCTTCACTCTATTTTTGAAATTCAACTGGCCCTTCTGCTCTGGCTACGTAAGTCCTAATTTTTCCTTTTTTCTTTTAATTTTTCATTACTGGGTAGTTATAATATCAAGCAATGTAGATTTTGGTCAGTGAAACTTGTAAGGAAAATGGATACGGCTTAACTGCTTCTTATCTAGTTGACATTTTGTTGAAATTTTGTCGAAATCGATATCGATATTTTATTCAATTTTTATCGATATCGATATTTTGTTGAAATTTCCATTGATATTTCCGTGTTTTTGGACCACCGATATTTCCGAAATCCTCGATATTTAAATCCTTGCGTTGAACTCAACAAACCTATCTTGCACCAAGATATCTAGTTGACAACTCCTGATTTATCGTTTTAGTTTATTGCTCTATCAACACTTGGTATTCCTAGTTATTAGGCTTTCTTCATTTTCAACACCAATACTTCAATTTATCAGACTCACTTGTTGGTTACATTTAAATTATGACAGCAATGAACTGGATCAAGAAATCTCCAGTTCTTCATTTGTGAGACGGAGAGAGAATCGGGGATTGAGTTTTGTATTGATGCTAATCTTTTTTCCTTTTTCCTTTTAATTTTTTATTACAGGGCAGTTATTATATCAAGCAATGTAGACTTCGGTGAGTGAAACTTGTAAGGAAAATGGATACGGCTTAACTGCTTCTTAGTTGGGAGCTGAGACTAAATCAAGTTTAAGAAAAAAAGAAGAAGGAAAATAAGGAGAAATGATAGCATTCTTTTACTATATAAATTTTGGATGCACAAAAGGAATCAAACACTAATTAATTTTCTGCACATCACAAAACATCTGTCTTGCAGCTAATCCTTCTCCCAAGTTTTATTTCATACCATCATCATGCACACCCTTCAGAACAGAGGAACTCTGCACATCACAATAGTAAAAAGAACACATTAGTCTAACTAAATCATAAATATCATATGAACCAAAATCTACATGATATTCTTACATACATAAAAAGAACACAGAGAGAGAGAGAGAGAGAGAGAGAGAGAGAGAGAGAGAGAGAGAAATTACTTGCTGCAGTCGACGCTGGGGTCAAGAGGTACAGGAACGGAGACCTTGCAGTATTCGGGGATGGCCCTTAGTCTGGCTGGGTCAATCTTCATGCCAGCTGCAGCTGTTTTCAAGCATTCACAGAGGCTCCTGCGGATTTCAGTGGAGGTAGCCTCAGAAGCAAGGGTTTGGACACCAGCACAACAAGGAACGGCAGGACTGCCTGGGCCAGAACCCACCAAGTATGGCTCACAGGGCATCAAAGTCATCAGGGCCTCTTGGCATGTGATCCCATTTGCCGGAAATGCATTGTTCAAAACCATAACCACCAACCCAAAAACTATCAGAGACCAACCCATCAGCTTCATCTCCATACTCTCTCTTTCTCAACAAAGGGAAGAGAAAAACACAAAATTAAGCAATATAAAAACTGCTTGCTCGTAGGATATTGTAAAACCTCAACTCACTGTGGCTTAGAGCATAAGATGCATGCCTCTCTTTATAGGGCAGGCACCACCACTTTTTTGGTAACTCATTAATTGTGCGGTCGAGATTTTTTTGATTCTTCCTAAGGGCCCAACCTTCCTTAAACTAATATTTTTTATGCTTAATTACACAATTGCTCAAAAAAATTTCTGTCAAAACCATAGTATAAAATATCGATAATATCGACGAAATATCGAGGATATTATTGTTTTTTTGGATCACAGATATTTCAGAACGTATTCATACACATATCGTATAAATATCGATAATATCGACAATAATATCGAAAAATATAGATGTCGATAATTTCGCTCACACTTCAACAATATTTTGTCAAAATATTGCCATAATATCGTTATAATATCGAAAATATCGATGTAATGAAAACAAGGGGAAAAAAAAAGTATACAAGCAAAAGGGATTCAAACCCTTGCCATTTCACTCCTCCAGCACCTTAACCACCATGTTGTTTACGTTTTTGTGATAATGTGCTAATATGTATATTTATATTGTTTTGTTTTGAACTGTTTTTGCAAGAATCATATTTTCACATAAGAATGTGAGTCTTTGACCTTTCCTTTTGGGATGGAATCGAGCAGCTCATGGAAAGAATCCGAGATCCAATCTTCAAATGATTTTGCTTATGTACAACGTCAACTAATCTTGGATCCATATGGGTGTCATGTTAACAATTACATGCAAAACTATTTTGGGGATTTATCATTTGTATAAAGTGTAAAATATTGTAGTGAATCATTATATAAATGATTATGGTGTGTTTAATCTGCTTTCATTAATTATTACATATTTTTTACATTCACAGTGTTTGTCAACTTACTATATAATCAATTTTAATCAGTTAAACCCATCATGCAATGCATTTTCTTCCAATTTTTTGTGATAAACTAATTGATAATTGACTGAATAAACATCCTCCAAAGTTTCAATAAAAATTTTCAAGTTTTTCTTACAATTTCCGTGGTTTTTATTCATTTTTTATTGATATCCATAATATCCCGATATTTCCATCGAAATTTTCGTATTTTTAGACTACCGATATTTTCGATACCATCAATATTTTAGACCTTGGTCAAAACCCACTTTGCCCCCAGAAGCCAAATCTCAAAAAAGTAGGATACGTGGACACGACAATTAAAAAAATATTAATTTATAATAATACTTATAAATATATTTTAAAAATTAAAATATTGATGTTCATACTACAATTTCACAATACCCATATATTGTGAAATTCAAGCTTTACAATCCTTTCAAATGTAGTTTATTAATTTTATATCAATTATAATTGAATTAACACATTAGTTGACCCAGAGTATGAGTTGACCCATATCCAGAGATTGTTGATCGTGTATAGGGAGTGTCTTGACGGTGGACACGACGTTGACCATTGGACACGGGTGTCCAATTAGTGTTCGACACTTGGGCTTAGTGGAGTGTCCGTGCAACTTAGCTTTCATCCATTGATTGAGGTTTGGTGACCCACTTTGCCTCTTGCCATCAACTCCATCCAAAATTTTGTTAAATTTGATGATGTGGCATGGGCTTTATGGTAATTTTATCCATGTGGCCAAATAGGACCCACTATTTTGTTGAAGTGGATGCCACATAAAAATCAATAAAATATTTTATTTTAAGAAAAATTAACAAATAGAAAATAGATATGTATAATTACTTCTCTCTCCCTCTTTTTTTCTCTGTACCCAACGATCCCTTCCCTTACCAACCCTTGGGGTAGTGATTGTTGCTCCAACCCCACCTACCAACTACTCCCCTCCCTCTAAACGACCCCTTCTTTATTAACAAATAGGTCCAAGCCAACATCTCCCACTACCACCCCCAAACCCAAATTGAAGCCATCGCCGTCGGTAATGAAGTTGTTGTTGACCCAAACAACACCACCCAATTCCTCCTTGAACCTCCACGAAAGTGAAATCCAATGCAACTATATAGCCATCTCAACATCTCAACAAGACTCAAGATAAATTTAGTGGAAAAGCCGAGTTGCTCGAGGTGCACCTGTAGGGAATGAGGTACACCTGTAGGGAATGAGGTAGACCTGATTGATGACATTGTGCGAAACATCGTTGTTGGAGAGGTCATTGTTGTCTTAGAGGCAAAGATGCTGGGAACGGAAGTTGGGGCAGAAATCAAGGTTCGAGTAGGGGTCGTTTATGGCGAAGGAGGAGGAGGAGAAGAAGGCCCATTAAGGGTTTTTAAGTCTAGAGTCATTCTATAGTGAGGGCCTTATATATGGCCCTTAGGTGAGATCCTATCTCTTAACTGTCGGATTAGGCTAACCAATTTGATCCAATGACTAACTAATTTGATCAAACAGTTAAGAGATAGGGCCACACCTAAGGCCCTCACTATAGAATTCTTGTTTAAGTCTAAATGGGTTTTGGGCTGTTCATTTCATAAAATTAAAAACCCAAAGGATGAGGCCTAAGGTCAAGTAGGCCCAATATTTCATACTTTCCAAAATAAAGCGTTGTTTGTATTTCAAAATTGCTTTTACCCGGTTAATGGCACGATTATCAAGGTTAGCACTTTGAGTTGATTGTGATAGCTGGGGAAAGTTAAATGGCAAAGAGAAAGGCCAAGCAATCGCATTTAATGCTATTGGGACAAACTTGCCGAAGAAAAGCCATGCTGGGACAAGTGACCATCGACGTTGCAAAAATCAATGTACTAGTTCATCAGTTTCAATAGCAAAGAAAGGACTAACACAGACTCCACCATCTCGTCACCAAGTGTGCAAATTCAAGAACCAAGGAGTCTATAATTAGAGCCATAACCTAAAGCGTAGGGGACTGACAATTGGCACAACTTTTTTCTCAGAAAAAGACTTCAAACTCGATCAGTCCTTGATCTCGTTAAACTTAACAAACCTCTCTTGAACCAAGATATCTAGTTGACAACTCCTGAGTTATCTTTTTCGTTTATTGCTCTGTAAACACTTGGTATCAATTCCTAGTTACTAGGCTTTGGTCATTTTCAACACCAATACTTCAATTTATCACACTTAGTTATTGGTTACATTTAAAGTTTATGAGTGCAATGAACTGAATCGAGAAATCTTCAGTTCTAAGTATTTTTCTGTCATTTTATAAAGCCAAGTTATTTGGGACTTAAATATGGAATTAGAAGATTAAGAAGAGGGAAAAGATGATGATTTAGACAACACCAAGCTGGTGCCAATTTACACTAACACAATCTCATTCCAAAAAAAAACAAAATATTGATGTTTATACTCCAATTTCACAATACCCATATATAGTGACATTCAAGCTTTCCAAGCCTTTCAACTGTAGTTTATTAATTTTATATGAATTATAATTGAATTAACACATTATTTGACCGTGAGTATGAGTTGACCCGTGCCCAGAGAGTGTTTTGACCGTGTCTGGGGAGTGTCTTGACCGTAGACACGACGTTGATTGTAGGACATGGGTGTTCGAGTGTCCCACACTCCGACAGTTGGTCTTAGTGGAGTGTGCGTGCAATATAGCTTTCATCTCTTGATTGAGGTTTGGTGACCCATTTTTCCCCATTTCGTCAACTCCATTCAAAATTCTGTTAAATCTGATGACGTGGCATGGGCTTTATGGTAATTTCATCCACTTGGCCAAATAAGACCCACTGTTTTGTTCGAGTGGATGCCACGTTAGTGCCATGTAAAAATCAATAAAATATTTTATTTTAAGAAAAATTAACAAATAGAAAAAATAATAATAACTTCTCTCTCTCCCACTTTTTTTTTCTTGATTTTTTCTATTTAAACCTCGCACTTCTCTTTGTTCACCCCCTATTCTAAGTTTACCCCAACTTCTAATTCACATTTTCACAATTTCTAAGAACACCCCACTATCTTCCCAAACTACCCCTAAATACACACCCGGCAGAAAAAATAAATAAATAAATAAAAACTCATCAAGCTCACACCCCACACCCCAGTATATTGCCCATCACTGCTCTAAGTTCACATCAACCTCACATTACTTAAAAGAGATAAAAACACTTTTGTCAAATGTGTAGCATCATTAATTTTTTTTTATTTTCTTGTTGAACAAAGCAAACCTATGTGGCAATTTTCATATTGGGATTTTAGGTCTAATGGTCCTCGAATTTTGACCCGATTCTCATTTTGGTCTCTCAATTTCCAAAATCGTTCTCGTGGTCCTTCAACTTCAGTTTCGTTAAGACAAATGGTTCTGCCGTTAATTTTGTTAATTTTTTATGTTAAATGCAGGGTCAAAATGGTATTTAAAAAAAACCAAATAAATAAAATTAAATCTCTCTCTCTCTCTCTCTCTCTCTCTCTCTCTCTCAATTTCTTCCACCACCCAGCGCCCCTCTTCAATTTTTGTACAAAGGTCAAGGAAGAATGGTAGAATTCAGGTTCTGAAATCCACAATGGGTTAAAGGAGAACTTCTACAACTCAATGCCAAGGTGAATAAAACTGGTTCAGGATGTCTACTTGCTTTACTTCTTTATAAAAGCCTGATTAACTAGCAAGCTCTCAAGAAGACTGCCTTGTATTTGTAACCTTTTCCTTTGTTTGGTTGATGTTTGTGTATAGGGCATTGGACCATATGTCAAGGGTGCATATATTGTACTGTTCACTCGCCTAAAACTACCAGAATGAGCCAATGGTATCACAATTTGTTTGAGCTCTTACATCCTTGTTATGGCAAGATATCACAAGCTTTGATGCCAGAGAAGGGCTCTCAAAACAACAAAGGAAATTGAGGATGGGGGAGGAGGAGGGGTTTTGGGTTCGTTAGGGGTTTGAGGCTGGTAGTCATGAAGGAAAAGAAAATCGAAGGGGAGGGGGCACTAGGTGAAGGGTGGCTATGGGTTGCCATTTTTGCTCTCTCTTCCTCTCATCTGAATCTTGAGTATGCAGATAAGCTTCCTTGTTCTTAATAGAAGGAGAGGAGAAATTTGGGTTGGGAGGTAAAAGAAATCTGGGGAAGAAATCGGGACATAGGGAAATGAGAGAAAGATATATTTATTTTTAATACAAAAATACCATTTTGCCCCTGCATTTAACAAAAAAGATAACAAAATTGACTACAAGACTATTTGTCCCAATGAAACTGAAGTTGAAGGACCGGGGGAACGATTTTGGAAATTGAGGGGCCAAAATGTGAATCAGTTCAAAGTTCGGGAACCATTAGACCTAAAAACTATACATCAATCATAGGCTTAGGCTGACATTGTTTCTTTGCTTCGCAATCAAGTCTAGTTTTTTTTCCCCCCCTCCAGTTTTGTTTCTTTGATTATGATGATGATGATGATTATTTATTTTTTTGATTTGTTTGTTTGATTATAATTTGTCGTATTTAAGGTTTGTGAATAGAAGATGAGAGTGTAGTAGGTATTTTGGATTGAAAGAGAAGAGTAATATGACAATAGGATATAGATGAGTTTGTGTTTTTTTAAAACTTAATATGAAGAGTAGTTGGGTGCATGGGGTGTGTGCATAGATGCACTAGGGTTAAGTATTAAGTTAAATGACTCTTTTTGTCTTTTTAAAGAATAATAAAACTTAAGACCTTAATGATTTAAGTATTATGGTGAACAAAGAAAAGTATGAGGTTTGAATAGAAAAACTATTTTTTATATGTACCCGACAACCTCTCCCTATTAACCCAATTGGGGCAGCAATCACTGCCCCCACCCCTGCCCACAAGCTCCTCCCCTCCCTCTAAATGACCCCTCCTTCACCGACAAATAGGTCGAAGCCAAAATCGCCCCTACCACCCCCAAACCAAAATCGAAGCAATTGTCGTTGGCAACAAAGTCTTCGCCGACCCAAACAACAACACCCAGTTCCTCCATGAACCTCCACGAAAATGAAATCCAATGCAATAATAGAGCCATCTCAACAAGACTCGAGAGCAATTCAGTTGAAAAGATGAGGAGCACCTGTAGGGAACGAGGTAAACCTTATCGAAGGCATTGTGAGAAACATCGTCATTGGAGTGGTCATATTGTCGTACTCGTTTTGGAGGAAAGGGCCTAGGAATGGAAATTGGGGCCAAAATCGAGGTCTAAGTAGGGGTCATCTATGGTGAAGGAGGAGGATAGGAAGAAGGCTAGGGTTTGAGGCAACCATCTTGTTTGAACTGAAAATGGAAGAAGGCCCATTGAGGGGTTTTCAAGTCTACATGGGTTTTGGGCTGTTCATTTCATAAAAATAAAACCCAAAAGGATGAGACTAAGGTCAAGCATGCCCGATTAATGGTGCGATTATCCAGATTAGAACTTATAGTTGACTTCGACGGCTGGGGAAAGTCAGACGCTGAAGGGAAAGGCTGAGCTGCCGCATCAAATGTGATTGGAACCATGAAGCTATTCTACACCAACTTGCCGAAGAAAAGCCATGCTGGGACAAGCCACTATCGACTGTGCAGAAATCAATGTATTGGTTCACCAGTTTCAATCGCAAAGAAAGAACTTACACAGACTCATCCATCTCTTCACCAATCGTGCAAATTCAAAAACCAAAGAATCTATAAATAGAGCTAGAGCCCAAAGTTCAAGGGACTGACAATTGACACAACTTTTTTTCTCAGAAAAAGACTTCAAACTCGATCAGTCCTTGATCTCGTTGAACTCAACAAACCTCTCTTGAACCAAGATATCTAGTTGACAACTCCTAAGTTATCTTTTTAGTTTATTGCTCTGTTAACACTTGGTATCGATTCCTAGTTACTAGGCTCTGTTCATTTTTAACATCAATACTTCAATTTATCAGACTTACTTGTTGGTTACATTTAAAGTTTATGAGTGCAATGAACTGAATCGAGAAATCTTTAGTTCTAAATTGTTTTCTGTCATTTTATAAAGCCAAGTTTTTTGGGACTTGAATATGGAATCAGAAGATGAAGAAGGGGGAGAAGATGACGATTTGGACAACACCATGCTGGTGCCAATTTACACTCACAGAATCTCATTCCAGAGAGAAAAAACAAAAAATCTCTATAGGTTGTAGTAGGAACAGAGAGAATCAGGGATTGAGTTTTGTATTGACGCTAATCTTCTTTCCTTTTTCTTTTAATTTTTCATTACAGGGTAGTTATAATACCAAGCAATGTAGATTTTGGTGAGTGAAACTTGTAAGGAAAATGGATACGGCTTAATTGCTTCTTAGTTGGGAGCAGAGACTAAACCCAGTTAAGGAAAAGCAAAAAAGAAAAAAAAAGAGTAATGATAGCCTTCTTTCACTAATATAATCTTTTTAATACATAAATTTTGGATGCACAAAGGGAATCAAACACTAATTAATTTTCTGCACATCACAAAACATCTGTCTTGCATCTAATCCTCTCCAAGTTTTATTTCATACCATCCTCATGCACACCCTTCAGAACAGAGGAACTCTGCACATCACAATAGTAAAAAGAACACATTAGTCTAACTCAATCATAAATATCATAGGGAAATTTGCATAAATACCACCTATACTTTTAGGCCTGTGCGCTATTACCACATGAACTTTTAATTTTTATTTTTAACCACTTGAAATTTGTAAAGTATTGCAATTCACCATCTATGTCTAACTCCGTTAAAATTTCCATTAAATTAAAGGGTATTTTCGTCTGTTCCTTATGACTTAAAATAAATGTAAAAAACAAATTTTTATATATATAAAGTTAACCTAATTATCACCTTCCCCAACCCCTACCCTACCGTACTCTATATTTCTTTGTCTCTTGGAATCTTGAGGTGGGTTGTTGAAATTGAATTGCAAATACAATTATAGACCAACCACACTCTAGCTTGCTAATGGAATCACAACCATTTCTTCTGTGACAACCCACACAACAAGGAAATTTAGGCTTAAGTCTCCAGCTAAGACAACAAAGATTTATAGATCATAAAGGGCTTAACTGCTTGGTGATTTTTATTTTTTATTTTAATTAACTTGCAATTTATTATAGGCATGTCCATTATAAGGAGTGCACTTGTTTTAGAACTTGTTTGCCAATGGCAGATGTTTATGAACTTTTTGGGATATTTAGAAAAACTAGTATGTAATAGGAAGAAAACTGATTCCTTACCAAAACTGTGATGAAGTTATAAAATTCAAGTTCTAGTCTTTGATGTCAAATTTTGTGAATTCGCTAGATGTAGGGGAAGAGAGAGCAATTGCAATTTGATTTTTTTTCTTCTTTTTTTTTCAAAATGAAAACTTTCATACAATTGAACGACAAACCAAGAAATGCAAGGCAAAAGCTTTAATGATAGGACCGTGGCAATTTGATATTAAGTGGAAGAGAAGTGTTTAAATTTTCTATCTTATAAATTCTTCATCATCATACATTGTTTAAGTATTTTTTTGTGTAAAAAAAAAACATAGAAGAAGGTAGTGGCGGAGTCAGAAACTTTGTATAGAGGGGACACCTCAAATATTGAAATGAAATTTGAATTTTTTTACTTAATACAAAATCCCTAAATTTGAGTATTATACTCTATTATTTTACATATTACATTAACTATCTACTCATAATTAGTGCTAGCAAAAGATATTGATTCAAATTACATGTACTTTATTTTCCAATTTTAGTTTATTACTACAAAATTAAGAGTCAAAATAAGACAAAAAGAGATATAAAAAGGATAGTAATAAATAATAGTGAAAAGAGAGATAAGAAAAACATAAAAAGGGCCTCAATAAAATTTGATAAAAGATTGGTCATTGTGTTGAGAAAACAAAGGCCTCAATAAAATTGCGAGGGGGCATAGGAGCCCCTGGGCCTTAGCTCCCTCCGCCCCTGGAAGAAGGTATATTCCAATTATTATGCAAATAATAAAGGAGAATCATACATTATGGAATGGGAGGGGGTGGCTGCTGGTGATGTGTTCCAAAATAAATTTTGCTTGAACACTGATGCATAGGGTGGATTAGCGGTAATGACATATGAACCAAAATCTACATGATATTCGTAGATACATAAATAAGAGAGAGAGAACCAAAATCTACATGATATTCGTAGATGCATATATAATAGAGAGAGAGAGAGAGAGAGAGAGAGAGAGAGAGAGAGAGTAGATTCCCAATTTTAGTTTAGAAGCTGATGTACAGATTAGATTCAAAGGTCAACTGCAACCATCGTAAGTGATTACGTGAGCTTCTTGGTCCACTAGTCTGTTTCTCAGCATGCTGATTGCGAAAAGGTTATATACCACATTTTCAAATAGAGGTGGAGTCCATCTCTATTAGAGAGGTGATACATAATGTGGTATAAAAATATGGTAAACCTAGCGTTTTCTTTGCTAAAAATGCTCATGGCTGATGCGTACTAAATTCTATTGGTTGGTGATGACGTCAAAAAATTTCAAGTGTAACCGGTTGGATCTAATTAATCTTAGGATAAATTCCTTATGATATATAATCACGTAACAGAAAAAAAAAAACTCGTAATCTTACACACACATACTACCAAAATGTCATAATGGTAAATCCCGTTCGCGATAAACTCGTAAGTGTATAGACGAGGAGTGATGATTGCCAGTTTTCTCCAGCGGTAGACAACAGACAATCCGAGCCACGAAGTTATTTTGCTTGCAATGTATTATATGCTTACCTGCCAAAGCGCCAAACGCATGTGATACTAACTAATGGAGTTCAAAATTGACTCTCTCCAACTTAATGGGTCAAAAGTACAATTTTTCTCTTCCGGTGTAAATGGTCAAAGGTATAATATTAAACAAAGACCTAGATGAATTACTCTACGTAAAACGTTGAAATAAAAAAACCAAGTCTCTCACACACGCCTATTTCGTGTCTCTCTCCTCCTATAGCTCCTTCTATATAAATCTGAATCAAATTCTCATTCATCTCACTCACTAAAACACCTTCAATCTGAAGTTTGAAACAATTTTGCAGCAGTTGTTCATGAACCATGGCTACTCTTCAAGCTTCATTTTGCTCTTCTTCTTTTTCTTCAGCTTCATTTAAAAAAACCAAAACCACTCTCCACACCCCAAAATTCCAAAAATCATCCCATCTTTCAGTTCCTAGGCTCCTTGTGGATGAACAGAGTCAACCCAATGGGTTACTAAATCTGACAGCAACTTCAACTCATATAGAAAGGAACCCAAATTTTAAAAACACTAGGAGATCAAAGGGTAGTGAAGCAATTTCAGATTCAAAGTTGGTGCAAGAGCTATATGCAATAATGGAAATTGTCTCTGACAGAGTAGAAATGCACAAGAACATTTGTGCCCAGAGGGACAATTGGAATGGCCTGCTTCTCAACTCTCTGAATGGAATGACAGCCACTGCTGCAATCATGGCTGGACTTGCAGCTGTGAGTGGATCTGGAGGAGCACCCATTTTGGCTCTCAAGCTGTCTTCCAGTCTCCTATACATGGCTGTCACTGGGATTTTGCTGGTGATGAATAAGATCCAGCCTTCTCAGCTAGCAGAGGAGCAGAGAAATGCTTCAAGGCTTTTTAAGAGGCTTCATGAAGAGATCAAAACCACTCTGGTTTTAAAAACCCCAACTTCAAATGATGTGAAGGTTGCAATGGAAAAAGTTTTGGCTTTAGATAAGGCCTACCCACTGCCCTTGCTTGGGACCATGATTGAGAAATTTCCTTCCCTTGTGAAGCCTGCTGTGTGGTGGCCAGAAGAATCCAAGCCTCAACATGAAGAGACGAGCGAGAAGGTTGAGAGGAATGGGTGGGATGAGAAGCTGGAAGAGGAAATGAAGGAGATTTTGGGTGTGGTGAGAGGAAAAGATGCTGCAGAATATGTGAGGCTAAGCAATGTGGTCTTGAAGGTTAACAAAATACTAGCATTCTGTGGCCCTTTGCTCACTGGTTTTGCTGCAGCTGGGGCAGGACTTGTTGGGTTGACTGGTTTTGGTTCATGGGGTGCAGTTTTGGCTGTGGTGTTTGGGGCTTTGGCCAGTGTGGTCAACACTTTGGAGCATGGTGGGCAAGTGGGAATGGTGTTTGAGATGTATAGGAGTTCTGCAGGGTTTTTTAAGCTCATGGAGGAGACCATAGAATCAACTCTCAAGGAAGGAGAGGTTGGGGAGAGAGAGAATGGGGAGCTGTTTGAAGTGAAAGTGGCTCTTCAGCTTGGCAGAAGCCTTGCAGAACTCAGAGACCTTGCAAGTTCTTCATCTTTGTCTTCAAGTCTTAAACAGGCTAAAGAAGAATTTGCAAGCAAGCTTTTTTGATTTATTTCCCTTCGGTCTCGTGACTTTGTTAGATACATTCTTCTTCTTCTTCTTTTCTTTTTATTTTTTATTTTTTATTTTTTTAATTATTTTTTGTATATTTAAGTAGAAGAAATCTGGACAAGACACAAGTCTTTAGTCACTGAACCATTATTGGTAATCAAGCTGTAGTTGATTCTAAATCAAAACTGTGTTTACTTGACCTACTTTTTAATGACATCATCAATTTTTTGATGGAAAAGTAAATGAAGGGTTTCCTACAAACAATCTGAAACCCGAGGAGGTGTTAGAGTAATTTCCGAAACCTTTGAGCTATTATGAAAACAGAAAAAACTTCAGTATAAATCGAAAACAAATCACCAATTCTGCAAGCATTAGAGAATGTGGGGAAAAAGCTATGGGATAGGTTGGGTGTAAGTGAAGAGTTATTTGAGGGTGTTTAAGTCGATGCCCATCAGTTTTTGGCTAGAGATATACGAACTCAAAAATGGAGTGGGCTAAAGGTTTTGAAGTGTATTAAAAAGTTCAGACCAAAAAAAAAAAAAAAAAAAAAAAAAAATGTTATTAAAAAGGGGTAGTTTTCAAAATTTCCCTAATTCTGAAGCATGCATGATATGGATTTGCTTTCTTTACCAGTATTTCTACCACTTGTGCTGCAATAAATCACGAGTTACCTCACTTTTGAGTGTTCTGAACCTTAAATACGATGTAAGCAACAACCCAAACAGTACGACCGGTTGGCGCTAGAAAATGCTCAACCGAGGGCTACGGTTCAGTGTGCGGTTTAGGGTCAAACCCAAACCAAACGATACCAGGCCCACCCCTACCTCTAGGTATTTGTTAAGCATGGGAATATTTGCTACCAACTCCTTCCCAATATAGGCTCAAATGATTTGACACTAAGCAGCTTGATCATGATTCATTACAGATCTTAAAATGCTCAAAAGATAATCAATTACACAGGAAAGCTTTTGCCATCGGATATAATGGTATAGGATGGAAAATTGGCAAGAAATTATTATCAAGGTTGAACCAACTAAATGTGAAAATCTCAGTTGCCAAGCAATATGTTACATCATACAGTCAAATACAGGAAAGCAAACAACTGCAATCTATAAGCTCTGCCTAGGGCCATAAATTTAAGGTTATCCCGTTTAAATAACTTGAAAGAATTTTAGAATCATTTTTTGCCACAAAATCAATGCGATTCAGCAGTACTGAACTGATGAATTTAACGGCTCTCGCAACCTTTTCTTTTCGATATAAAAAAGTCTCTCTTGGCTACATGTTGGAAAGCTTTTGGAGCAACTGATGTGTTCAGATTCTGACTTCTATGCCTTCATTTAACAAATGCTCCTTTACAGATTGAATAGGCACCTGCAACCGTTATAATCAGAGTATTAATTAATATGATAGTGATAATCAGCACTGAGATGCTCACAAGTTATATAAAAGGTTCTCAAGTTGTACCTCCTTCCGATGGAAAATGCCCGCAGCAAGGGCAGCAGATGCATTTGTTTTCCTGAACACCTCTGAGAAGTGTTCAGCAGAACCAGCACCACTACTAGCAATCACGGGAATGCTCACAGCATCTGAGATCAGCTTTATTAAATCTATATCAAATCCCTTCTTTTGACCTGAAAAGCATCAAGGAGTCGGCATCAGCATGAGAAGCCAACAGAAACAACAAACTAGTTTGAGAATGAATTTTAAAAAAAATGCAAATAGATAACTCCAAACATTCTTGCGTTTTTCTCACAATGCCATGTTAGTTTGAGAAACTAACACTTACAGGGGGAATAACTTAGCATTCATTGTAAATATCATTAACTTTATGTATTCTTTTCCCGAAAAAGAGTTATGCTCAAAAGAGAAATTGACTTGTAATGGGTGAGGAACACCAAAGTATTATTTACCATCACAATCAATGCAGTTTAGCAGTATTTCTCCAGCTCCTAGCTCCTCAACTGCTTTTGCAAGCTCATAAGCTCCAATTGGTCGGCCTTCTCGGCCACCGCTAACCTTCAGAACAAACAACAGACAGTTTCAAGATACAATAAAGGAAAATCTTCTTTCCTAAAAGAATGGGGGAAAATCTTCTAATGATGTAACTGGTCAAAGAAAGGATCTCTAGTTGGTGCATCTGACAAACAAGTCGATCCCCTCGTCCTACAAATTATTTATTTCAACATACAATCGAAGCACAGAAATATCTTACAGGAGTATGATAAATTGATAATGAGTTAAATTTGAAAAATGAACGAATTCACAAACACACACAGATATAGCTCTCTTTGTATGTGTGTGGGGTAAGATGACATAAGTCTCTCTAAGCTCCTTTCTCTCTTATGAAAAAATTGAAACTCTACCCACATGAATTGTTATCTTAAATAAACAATATATAATCCTAATTATGTCTTTAGATCTGATAGTTAATGCCAGGCTAACTACCCAGACATGGAGGTTCAGGGAATTCTTATTACTATTTTATTTTCTGGGGGCAAATTAAATGAAGCAAATCCATGTCATATGCATACTTCAGAATATATATCATGTTTTAACTTTGAATGGTAGTGCACAGGTGAAGAAAGCAAAATAAAAGAATGCTTACTGTACACTGATACCACGCAAATTCCTCTCCGTTTGGACCTGAATTCAATAATAAATTTTTTTTGACTTTTCTACATAATTTTAACATGAAATATGAAGATGAACGGATTATCCAAGCAAGAAAAAGAAGCAAAAACTGAAGTTATGCCCCCTTACCTGGGTTTGTTACCCTAATAGTCTTGAACCCTACATCCTCTGGATTTTTAAGGTACACTCTGCGAGGATCAATGCTTACAACCACAGCCTGCAACATATATATTAAATAAACTAAATAAGGAACTTGAAAAACTGAGACACAATGGCAGACTGGATTACAGCCGTCCAGGACTCCAGGCAGAAAAAGACCATGATCAATTAATCAGTCAAGACAATAGTCCTAAACCCTCAACAAATTCAGAACACGTAAAAGCAAAAACAACAGTTGTTTGCAAATTCAAAACCACAGTTAAGCAGGAGAAAAGCCTCTTTATTTAATTCTAGTTTCCAACTTTATGCTACTACAAGAACTATAATGAATTCTCGACAGTCAAAATAAATACTACAGAACTAGAAGCTGGGACAATATTAAAAAAAAAAAAAATGCACAAAAATGCAATGTCAACGATTAATTAGAACCACAAGAATGTATACTAAGACTTTGTATAATATGTGTTGAAATTGTGCAAATCAACTCAAAAGAATGTAATGGATGCACCTACTGGACAAGATATTACCTGATTTCCATAAACTCTAGATATCTGCTCTAAGCTACTATTTCCACTTTTTACCTAAAAGATCAGTAGAAGAACCATTAGAGAGGCATACACAGAGTCATGTGCTTTGCACAGATCTGAATTTGAAACATTGAAAATTATTGCATACTCCAGTTCTTAAATATTCTTCTGCAGCATAAACTGCATCACTCCCAATGGAAATCTTATCAGCCCCACATCTGAAATATTCTGAAGCAACTTCCAAACTAGAATACTTCCTGGAAAACAAAATGAACTTAAATCCATGTCCATACTCCTACATTTAACCGGCATGTATAATATGAGTGGAAGCTATTGAATTTAATTTCTATAGAGAAAAATATAAGAAGGAAAGTTGAAACATGTAAAGAAAAGACAATATTGGCCCATCAAAATAGAACACCCAGGAGTATACCTGCCATTAGCATCTGTAAAATCTCTAATGCCACCTCCAACTGTTAATGGTACAAAAACATTTTCTGATGTGTATCTCAGTACCTACAAAGCATGGAAAGTAAACAAGAATTAAGAAATTAGTTAAAAAATAACAACGCAAGTATTTTTTTTTTTTTGGTCGAAACAACACAAATTCAAAATAGGAAAACTCACTATTTTGTCAAAATTGACAGATTTAAGTGTAACAGTTAAAAATTCTCTATCACAAACCTGTAACATGGGCAAGTCGCCCAAAGGGAAGTCGCGGAAACCGGTAATATTTAAAAAACTGACCTGAAAATTCAAGATCAAGACTTTAAGCAGATTATCACAGTTCTTTGATGATGCATAAGCAGTGAAATTTGTTCAAACTTAAGGAGGCATACCTCATCTGCCCCATCTTTGTAATACTGTCGAGCCAGCTCCACAGGCTTGCCAAGTTCTCTCACCTACCAAAGTTTCTGATTAGCAGACATAGAAGCAATTTTATGCCATAATGAAAAGAATTTGAACCATCATCAAGACTACAAAAATAAGTCACACATTATTTAGAATAGGAATGATATATAGATACCACAATAAATAGCAAAAAGTAAACCTTTTCATTAAGTGACAACATTAATCCACCGAGGCAAAGATACAATTTCTCCTGGTCTCTTATCCTTTTACAAGAAGGTCGCGTACTCAAATAGGACAAAAAAGAGGGTATGAAACTAGATGTGCTTGAAACAAGCAAAGAATGCAAAGTAAGATCCATGAGTGGGGCTTATTCAACTAGATCTTACTAATTTTGACTATGATAAATTATGATGCACCAATGGCTGATGATGCCTAATATGATATATCGTTGGTAAGCATGAAAATTTGCATCAAGAAATTAGGTTGAAAAAATCACCAAAATCAGGAAAGGCAGGAGTCAAGAATTATTGAAATACCTCATTCTCTTTTGTATGCTCTCTTACATCGTATTGGTCGCCTTTGGTTACAACAAGATCTCCTTTGTCATTCGTCCTCACATCAAGACAAGCAATCACCTAAGTAATAGAAATTATGGTGAACCTTCGCAGTCAGCATATGAAAGACAATGAGATAAGTACTGATCAGACCTACGATATTGTAAGTTGGACTAATGTGTGTAGGCAGGTTAAAATTCAATCCCTCCCCTTCCACCCAAAAACACAAAAAAGAAGGTAAATATAAAAATAAGTGAATAGGAATTACCCTCTTTGCAAGTTTCAAAGCCTTCCTTTCAGTGGGCTTCTGTCTTCACAAGAACATCTCAGATTGTTAGATGGTTGAACAGAGTAGTCAACATATGAGAAGCACATTTCTCAGAGGTCAGAGGTTACCTTTGTCAACTGTCCCTTTGGATACAAAAATCTTCTCAATATTGAAAGACCAACATCTAAACATTCATTTTCAGATAATATTTTGTCAGTAATAGGGCTTTAATATAGAAAATAATAGAAAACGGAGTGCCAAAAATTACACACAAAAGCAGGTCAGAAAAGATCCACCACATAAACCTTAAACAAAATTTTTACCCTCTTCACTCTAGTAAATAATGGGGGAAAGGAGAGGAGAACTTTTAAAATGCAACAGAAAGGAAGCTCATTTCTGAAAATTTCAACAGTTAAATTTCATTCCTCCTTACTTTAGAGAGTTGAGTGATTTTGCATTTAATATTTGGTTTGCTACTTCAGTTCCTTGCTATAGGGGTTTACAAATTCAAAATGTCAGAAGGAACTCCAAGGTCAAGTCATGTGAGATAAAATCTGCTTCCTTCTTACCAAAAGAAACAAGACATGGAAGTTTACTGCAATTCCTGTACACTTTCAGCTACCATTAAAAATCTACAAACAGACAGGAGAGAGCAAATGGTATCTTACCTCCACTCTTTTCCGGGTGAAATTGAACTGCATGAACATTTCCCCTTCTAACGGACGCAATAAAATTGTCACCATAGTTGCAAGTAGATGAAACCCATTCTTTGTTTTCATCTGACTGAAAATTGGATAGAAATATGTCAACCCCAAGAAACATACAGAATCACCATATTTTAGTGAAAGTAAACAGCAGATACAAGAACTTCAAATTACTTTCTGTAATAGAGGATAATAAGACATACGGGCATGGCTCTGTAAGAATGAACAAAATAGACATGATTGCTTCCAACATCATCCAAAATTAATGAGTCCTTTCTAATCTGCAAAGCATTCCATCCAATGTGTGGAACTCTGAAACCATTTGATGAATCAAAACGCCCAACCACTCCCGGTATCAAGCCAAGACCTTTCACTGAGACATAGATAACGTCAGAAATAACATAAATTTGTTTAAGCACACCGAAACTATCTCCTTGAACCAGCTCTCTCGCTCTTTCTCTCTCTCTCATAATAATTATAATAACAACTTCACAAATGGATTGCTGCATCCTCAGTAGTTGCTAAAAGAAATACTATCATATGGGAAGAGTGATTTCTATTCTAGGGATTTTAGTTACTATTATATAATTAAATTTCTTAAATGTACTATTACAATACATAATACTCATATTTGCATGGGAAGAAAGAATAAACAAATCGATGTCAAATGAATCATTGTATATAGTCATTGCAAATCCATCTCAAATATATTGTATAAGTTATTTCAAAACGTGATATTTAGTAATTTTATGCTAATCTAGCCTTACTGTCAAATCCAATTCCTTCTTTTCAATCATTCAATCCAAATTGTTACAGGTGAATACTCCATGACTGAGATCCATGCAGTTTACGATGAGTTACCAAATCTGAGAAAAAAATAACTAATGACAAAATGAGGCATCAAGCACTGACCCGGTCCTTTCTCTTCACTGGATTCAAAAAGGAGCTGAAGACCCAGACAAATGCCTAGAAATGGTCGGTCCTTCTCAATATATGAACAGAGTGCTTCAGCCATCCTGAAAAACATTAAAGGGCTGAAAATTCTCCACAATATAAAAAAGAAAATAATTGGAATTACATTGGTAATATTATAAGATTAGTTAACAAAAGAGAAATATTCAAAGCCATCTTATATTCAAATTTGATATTCAAGCCCGCTACCAATCATTGTTGCGATTAACTTTACTTAACCACATTTCGGCATTCTCTGAATAGGCACTCCTTATCACCAATATCCCTTCTTTGTCACTAATCCATTTTAATGGAACAAACAAGCAATTGATCCTTATAGAATCCGATATAAAAGAAAAGAGACACATACCCATTCTTATTCAGCACATCCATGGCCGCAGCAAAAGCCCCCACTCCAGGAAAAACTAGGCGGTTGGCGTTGAGAATGTCTTCTGGAGTTTGAACCTACATTTTGAATTTTTGTTAAAACTTTATTCATTGACTTACCATATTTTATATGAATCGATTTTCTACATCTTTCTTTTCTTTTTTCATAAAATCTGTAACATATAAAAATTAACATTAAAAATTTAAATTTTAAATTTAAATTAAAAATAAAAACAAAAAACAAAATTTCCCCATCATTACAAAGAAACCACTTAGAAGTATAAAACTTTGGAACAAAGCACAAATGAGGCATAGCAGAATGGAAACAATTCAAAATATATTTGGAATTGTTCGTGAAGGAATTGAATGGTTGAGTATGAGAAGCTCAATGTAAGGAATTATGAGAATGCATTCAAATAAAAAGAAAGCAAAGCAAAGCAAAGATAGATAGATATTGAGAAAAGAAAAGAAAAGAAAAAGAATTACATCTTTAACGTCGAAGCCGAGGTGGCGAATAGCATTCCTCACACTACGAACATTGCCGGCACCGTAGTCAAGCAGAGTCACCACTGATTGAATATCAAAAACAAAATCATTTGAAATTTATCATTAAAAAAATAAATTTAACAGGAAAATAGAGAGAGAGATACCGGAGTCACCGGGAGAGGAGGCACGGACGCAGAAGTTTCTGGAAGGTCTGAAACTGAGGCGATTTTTGCGAAAAAATAGAAGAGACGAGGGGGACGATGATCGAAACGACAGCGTTTTGGTAGAAGAAGCAAATGGCGGCGCCTCCATTGCAGGCTCTGGGAAGTGAGAAAAACAGCTTTCCCCGCCTCAGCCTCAGTGACTCCAAAGTCCAAACCGCAGCTGAGAGAGAGTCTTCTCAGTGTATATACTTTACCTAGATGCTGAATTTACAGTCTTGCTCGTGGTTTGTGCCGAGTGTCTTAAAAGAGACAAAACGCACCGCTTTGGGGAATTCATTATTTATTTTATTTTATTACTTGTCAGAAATTGATATTGAAACTAGGCCTGGGCACGGTTCGGGTCGTGTTAAATTTTAGCCGACCCGCAGGCCAAATCGAAGGACAGCTCGGTTCTCAGGTCGGGTCGGGTCTAGGGTGAAACTCGAAAATGGGCCAAACCGGAAATGGACTCGATTCTCGAGTCAGTTCCGTATTCTGATCGGTTTGGGGTTGATCCCATTTTTATCATTTTCGAAAGCCCAAATCGTATATATTTTCAGGAAAAAAAAGCCCAAATCATATTTTTTTAGCAAAACAAAGCCCAAATCAGATTCACCTTCAGCCCCAAAACCCTTTTTTGTTGTCAAATTCCAAAACCTATTAAATTCTTATGAACAAGCCCAAAACACTTTTTACTTCTCTTTCAAAACCTGAAATTATGTAAATTCAACCTATAAAAATCCATCATTCCAATCTAAGTTTCTAAACTAAATAAATCTCACATACACACATTCAACCAACCAACCAAAGAAAAGAAATATAATCTCTTACAAACCATTACAAAAAATAATATACAAACCAAATTAAACTTATGAAATTAAAGATTACAACCGATCAAAAAAAATACACATAAAGATAATATCCTTGCAAAAAATCTGCTGCATCCATTCTTCCAAAAGCCTTAACAAAGCAACCTACACAACACTTAAAAGAATTAACACAAAGTTTCACCATCAACAAATCATAATTAAAATAAGATACAAGAAAAAATACCTTCCAACATATCTTAATCACACTAAGAAGGGAGAGTCTTATTCAAATTTGTCGTGGATGTTTTACTCCCTATTTCTACAAAATATAATAAAATAAATCAAACCTTTGTCGCGGTGTTGGATTTTGTGATGCTGCTGTAGGAGGTACAACAACATCACTACAAGGTAGAGAATCACCATTCCCATGCATTTGAGCCTCGGTAGAAGTAGGTTCCTATTCATAAACAGATTAAAACCATATTTAAACACAGCCAAACAAAGTAAACTACCCATAAACATATTAAAACATATATCCTATTAAAAAAAACACACATTTAAACTGTCGAAACAAATTTAAACTATGCATACAACTCCCTAAACATATATCCTATCCAAATATCAAATTTAAACACAGTTAAAACAGATTTTTCCTTTTCAAAGATGCAAGAAACAGAGTGAAAACAGATTTAAACAGATTTCAATCACATACAGATTACAAATTACAGAATACTTCCAACATATCTTACAAAAAACGGACTACAAAAACATATTACGAAAACAGATTATACACCTTCAGCCCCAAAACCCTTTTTTGTTGTCAAATTCCAAAACCTATTAAATTCTTATGAACAAGCCCAAAACACTTTTTACTTCTCTTTCAAAACTTGAAATTATGTAAATTCAACCTATAAAAATTCATCATTCCAATCTAAGTTTCTAAACTAAATAAATCTCATATACACACATTCAACCAACCAACCAAGGAAAAGAAATATAATCTCTTACAAACCATTACAAAAAATAATACACAAACCAAATTAAACTTATGAAATTAAAGATTACAACCGATCACAAAAATACACATAAAGATAATATCCTTGCAAAAAAGCTATTACATCCATTCTTCCAAAAGCCTTAACAAAGCAACCTACATAACACTTAAAAGAATTAACACAAAGTTTCACCATCAACAAATCATAATTAAAATAAGATACAAGAAAAAATACCTTCCAACATATCTTAATCACACTAAGAAGGGAGAGTCTTATTCAAATTTGTCGTGGATGTTTTACTCCCTATTTCTACAAAATATAATAAAATAAATCAAACCTTTGTCGCGGTGTTGGATTTTGTGATGCTGCTGTAGGAGGTACAACAACATCACTACAAGGTAGAGAATCACCATTCCCATGCATTTGAGCCTCGGTAGAAGTAGGTTCCTATTCATAAACAGATTAAAACCATATTTAAACACAGCCAAACAAAGTAAACTACCCATAAACATATTAAAACATATATCCTATTAAAAAAAACACACATTTAAACTGTCGAAACAAATTTAAACTATGCATACAACTCCCTAAACATATATCCTATCCAAATATCAAATTTAAACACAGTTAAAACAGATTTTTCCTTTTCAAAGATGCAAGAAACAGAGTCAAAACATATTTAAACAGATTTCAATCACATACATATTACAAATTACAGATTTAAACACAGTACAAACAAATTTTTCCTATCCAAAGATGCAAGAAACAGATTTAAACAGATTACAAATTACAGAATACTTCCAACATATCTTACAAAAACATACTACAAAAACATATTACAAAACACAGAATACTTCCAACATATCTTACAAAAACATACTACAAAAACATATTACAAAAACAGATTATAAAAACAGATTACAAAAACAGATTACAAAAACAGATTTAAACATATTACAAAAACATAACATAAAAACAAATTATAAAAACAGATTACAAAAACAGATTTAAACATATTACAAACATAGAATTAAACAGATTACAAAAATAGATTTACATAGATTACAAAAACAGATTTAAATAGATTACCAGCAGCAGCAAATATTTACCTCCATTTAAGCAAAAAATTTCAAACTTTCAAAGCTCAGCAGCAGCAGCGACGCTAAACAACTGTGAATGAAATCAGAAAAAGGGTTAAGTTACAAACAAGCTTCACTCCTTTCATAAATTCAAACCAAATACCCTTAAATACCCATTGCTCTAAAAAAAGTCCTAAAATTAAAACCAAAATTTGAACTGCATGCCTTAATCTTTAATATGTAACTAACCATAATTCGTTCAAAAAAATTAGAGTAACATGCATGAACAATGTCAAATTGCAAATAAATCATCACTCTTCCATCTATTCTTTAATAAAAACAGAAACTAACCAATCAAAACAGACCTAGCATGCAGCACAACCTATTTAACAAAAAGAAACATAAACATAATTAACACAGCAGCATAACAACAAAATAGTAGCAGCAGAAACAGAACCTAGTAGTTTCACATAACCTAATTTCATAAAACAAAAATTAATTGTTAGCAGCCCTAATTAGAATAATTTAACAGAAGAACCTAAATGCTAGCAGCCTTAATTTGTATAATGCATGATACTTACAATTCATAATTTCTTTGTCAATTTCAAATAATCATCACAACACAGCATAACCTAATTGGTGGCAGCCCTAATTCGACAACCCTAAAGGCTAAAGCCTTAATAGAAAAAAATATATCATCACATTAACTTCAACCACCAAATCGACAAGCCTAATTTAACAGAAAAAACCATAAATTTAATTTAGAATAAACCCTAAATTCAAAGGAAGATGATGCTCTCACCTCTTTGACTGATATGAGAGAGAAACCCACAGAAGAAATCACAAGAGAGGAATAGATGTTGTTGGTGATCAGAAACTAAGACTGAGAAACATAGAAAAATCGAGGTAAGAAGAGAGAGCAAAGAGAGAGTTCGCGGAGCAAAGACGCGACGGGAAAAAAATCGAACAGATAAGAGAAGAGAAGCTGACCGGCGTGCAGGGATGGAGGCGGCATGGTGGCTAATCAATTGAGAGTGAGAGGATCGAACGAGAGACTGTCGAGAGAGAGAGGCGTCGCAGCCTCTTAGGTCAAAAACAAAATGAAAACTGAAGAGAGGAGAAGACTGAGCGAAAGAGAAGAGAGAGAGTCACGTGTGACTCACACGGTGTGAGGGAACTTACGGGAAAAATTAAAAAATTCGTGAGGGATCTGCTGCAAGCAATCTCACATAACTATTTTTTTTTGGCCAATCATACGACGCCACGTGTAATAATTATATATATTTAAATATTACTGGTTCGGTTCAAGTTCTTCGGTTCTGAAAAAATGAGACTCGAAGGCCGAACCGTTGACCTTCGGTTCGGTTCAGGTCCGTTGTTGACTTTTTCGATTTGGTCAAAAAACACTCTTTTTCGGTTTGGTTTGGTTTGGTTTGGTTTGGTTCGGTCGGTTTGATCGGTTTATCGGTTTTTATGCCCACCCCTAATTGAAACGATTCTAAGGCCATCCTCCAATGCTAAAGCTTTCTCCAACTCATGAGGGGCTAAACCCAAATTTTCCCCCTCTAGAAAGTAACTTTTTTCTCACAAACCTTCGGACTCAAATTTTAAGTTCACAACTTTATTAAATTGTTTAAGAATGGTTTAAGTCTATTTTTTTTTTTTAATGGATAACTTTTCTTCATTTAATCTTTTTAAATAACTTCATAATTTAATTTTTTGAACAATTTGACCTTGAAAAATTGAAATTCTACAAATATAATATTTTTGGTAGATTATTTGAGAAATGAGTGGGTATTTGTAGAGTTTGGGGTGAGTTTTGATGTTGGATGGATTTAGATTAAGTTAAAATATTATTTTGATCTTTGGATTTAAATTTCAACCGTTGGATTTTTTATTTTTATTTTTTTTACCGTTAAAATAGCTTAGATTTAACATATATCGTTGATTTAAGTTAATATTAGAATATAAAAAAAATAAACAAATAACATCACTGCAAGCCAAAGGCAGCATCTTCCACATGGGTTGTTGGCGGGCCCCAGTGAAGGAAAGCTTGCACATGGGCTACTGACGCAGCAGGTGGGCTCCACTAATTGTTTTTTAGGTCCAGGCAATACTTGGACTACAATTTGGATCCAAATTTGGGTTTTCCAAATTTTGGCCCCTTCATTTTCTTGGGTTATGAGAGGTTTTTGGGCAATAATTTGGAATTTTTTAGGTTTGGCCTCATGAGTTGGAGATGGCCTAAGGGGGCTAACCAAAATTTCACCATTCAAAATACAACCATTCATATATTGACTGGACTCAAATAGTTTTTGCCCCTA